CGCCGTTTCCAACACGGGGATGCACTTTGAATAAGCGGCAGAGAGACAGAGAGAGAGAGAGAGGGGGGGGAGAGGGGTCAAAGATACGAGGGTAACGCGGTTGGAATTAATGCGGAATGACTAAGCGGTTGCCTGGCTGTCGGCTCGAACCGTGAAACGTGTGTTTCGTGTGCACGTACATTATCGATAAAATATTCATCCTTGGTGCGCCCGTACACGTTTTCTTCCTTATTTTCCACGTTGCTTTGTGCTTGTTACACAATCCGGGGGAAAGAACCCTTTCGAAGGATTCTTCGAGTTTCGCTCGGCCACACGGGCAAACAGTGGTGCAGAATGCGATATAGACGGTGAAGCACAGAGCTTAGGAGGGCGTGTTCTCTCCTACCGCTCGGAAGTTCAATCTGTAAGGCTGTGTGCTACTCTCTCGGCCTGTGTGATTCTTTGTTACACCGTGCAGGCCTTCTGCTGTGGATTTTATTGTTTATCGCGAAGGGACGATGGTAGATTCTATGTTAAGAAAGTAATATATTAGATAAGAAAGAAGTTCGCACGTCAGATTCAATTTCGTTGCGAAATAATTCGTTGTACGTTGAATCGAAAGGTAAGAAGTGAAATTAAAAGGTGTAAGTGTACAGTTGTTCGGAAAACAGTCGTTTCCGACAAAATTGAAACACGCGTCTCGCCGGCGTTATTTGTAATCATTCTTCGTGGCCTTCGATAAATCGGGTGCGTCATTCTGATATTCAAATGAGCCTGGGACACCAACGGTGAAGATAGGCACGACGAGCAGGAGCGAGAGACGGAGATAAAGACAAAGAGAAAGGGAGGGGATAGAGAGAGGGAGAGAGAAGAGGAATAGAGAATGACCGCACTTAGGTCCTTTCGTTACGGAGCGGAGGAATAAGCCGCGGTCAATGGCTGCGGTATCCGCAGGTTCAAGGAAAGCGGGCTGGTCCGATTCGACATCGTGTCGTTCAGAGGGGAACTGAACAGGTGACGCGCTCATGAAAATGCAGGTTAATAGAATGCTGTCTAGAAAGAGTCTCGGAATTACAGGCACGCGTCCTTGTTCAATGGAAATCTTTCGAAATATCTCCGAGAATATCTATGTCAAATAGTTCGAAGGAATTCGAACGGATCGTTTAAGAGAGAGAGAGAGAGAGAGAGAGATAGAAATAATACGGTACTTATCGTCGCGTGGTTTCTTTCTTTCATTCTTCTCTTCTTTTGGCGAAAAACCATTTTTCGAACGTTTAAGGATCGAGTTCTTGGCGGTGGTCGGAACAGGGACACGATGAAACCACGGAGTGCCACACGGAATCCTACTCTGGAAGCCGATTGTTTCGGAGCCACTCGCAGCATTGTGGCAACAAATCTCACGGTTACGAGCGCTTTCATAAGCACGTAAAGCTATTCGAGCCGCGCTTCGCGAGTCGAGTGGCTTATCGATCACATAGGCGAAACAGACCGGTAATTTTCTCATCGTTCGGAAATTGAAAGATTCGATTACGCCGGAGTGGCGGGCGCAACGCCCTGTGCAAACACCGATCTCTCCTCCATCAAAATACCATTACTCTCTTTCCTTTTTTTTCTTTCTTATACGCTACGCCCTCGATATCCATACATACACACATCTGCGATAAATATACAGATACTTCGTAAACGTGTACTCGAGTGCAGGTTCTTCTTAACAGCGACACGAGAGACAATAAGGGGAAAAAATCGAAGAATTTTCGTGGCTGGTGAAATCGATTCGCGGGGAAGCACAGGAAGTGGGCGCGTTTCTTTGCCGCGCCGCAACGTTCCGTGAACAAACATCGAACAAAAACATAGAAGGAGGAGTCGGTGACAGTTCTCGTCGAACACCGTTCAAAATTCCCGAATCACCGTGGCAAAACTACCTCTTGTCCTACTCTTGTTCCCTCGAGGACACATTTGACGAACTCTCCCTGTATATTTCTCACCGGCAGTCCGGCCGCGCTGCATAGCAACAAACCGATCGATCGAACCGCGGTACAAATTTTGTTCCCCGGAAGAAAATTTCCTTCGCCCTCTGCCCGACATCGCGGTTCTAATTAATTTCGCGCAGAACGCGAGCAGGACGGGAGAGCGAGAGAGAGAGAGAGAGAGGCGAGAACCTCCTCCTCTCTCTGGTGCTTTTGCAACACGAAGGCCGCGGCGCGGTTCGGCCCTCCGCCACGGGACGCGGCGACTAGTTATCGATCTAAAGTTTTCCCATACCGGTGCATGAAGGCGGCAGTCGACATGTTACTATCCATGGGGTGGTTCCATAAATCGCAGCCCTTCTGCGGCAACACGTCTTTTTAACACTCGCCCGTTTTCCCGCCGTGGTTCCGTCGGTTGTGCGGATATCGTTTCTCTCGTTTTTCTTTTTCTCGTCGCCCCTTTGGAAGAAAGGGGTGAGGCACCCACGATTTCCCCGAGCGATCCTTGAGAGAGCTTCCTCGCGAACCACTCTCTCCTTCCGTTTAAGCCGCAAAATGTATACGTGTGTGTATCTATCTCTGGTTCTCTTCGAACCGAGGGGAAGATATATCCAACGGATGGACTCGAACGGCAAGAACCGTTTGCCAACACCTGCACAACTTGGCAGGTTGAAACCGTCGGCTGAACTGAAGTCAGAATGCGCATTCGTCGGTTTCCATGGTAGTGGCCGACGATGCCGGTGGTGGTGGAGGTGGCGGTGGTTGGTGACGGTGCAGGAGGCGGCGGTGGTGGTGGCGGTGGTGCAGTGGAGGAGCCCAGTAGCTCTGACGATGGTGGGGATTGACAGAACAGACCGTCTGCCCGGCTCTGGCTGGCTGGCTGGCGCGTTCACAACCAGGTGCCTAACCATGGAACCTAAGGTTCCATTCACATGACGAGGCTCTATCTCTCTCTGGTCGAGCAGTTTTTAGCCATCGACACGCACCACACGCATCACTCTGTTGTGACTCGCTAACGTTTCGATGAGGGGAGTCTCGTTCGAGTGCTTTTTAAAGCACTTGCTTTTAGGTAGTCTCCTTTGGTGGAATATTATGTTGGTATAGCCGATGGAAGGGATATCGTCGAGGTTGGAAATTTGTCCAAGTACGCGTAATTTGAATGTCGAAACGGTAATCCGAGGGAGATAAGGAGATAGAGGTTTGCCCAGGGTCGTTCGCTTCTTTCGTTGCGGTGTATTTTTTAGAAATTTGTATATTCGCCTTAATTGCAGTAAGTTCATTTTTGGCAATATGGCAAAATTTTGGTGGTTTGAATGGAAGATTGCGAGTAGAAAGTTGGAATATCAGTTCACGAGTAACGCAGGGTCCTGGGTGCGGCTAGATTAATCGGTGTCGCTGCTTATTGCTTTCATTCACGACCTTACTATATCGTTTTCATTGACAATGTAGTTTGGGCCACGATATAGCGTGGTTGTAAAAGTTATCGGGAACTAAAGTGGACATGTTTCGGGTGTTGGAACAACGAAATTGACGGAAATAAGGGCGCTCGAGGACCTGGAACCTCGGCCAGGACCGTAAGAAGAAATTTCTAGCCCAGTGTCACTGTACTTACACTACCGGCCAAAAGTTTGGAATCACCGAGCATTACAATTTACACAAAAATTTCCAGAAAAAAGTCAGCGACTTTGAGAATTTTCTATCATTCGAATCAATTGATATGAGATAAATTGATAAATGTAGAATTGAGATAAACTTGAAATCTATAAAAAATTAGCAGCAAATTTAATATTGATGAAAAGTGGAAGGTGATTCGAAACTTTTGGCCGGTAGTGTGTACTACACAGTGTGTGTGACTTTCCAAAAGTGAATTTTTGTGTAAGTAAACCGTGATTGGAAAATTCGATTCATATCGATACAAATGGAAGCATACATGTAGAAAATAAATTCGGAAAGTTACAAACGATGATACTTACCAGTATTGAACATTCACGTTTTTTCGAAGGATGCTAATGGGACATTTCGACCCAGTCGGTAGTTCTAGCGTTAATGCTCCAAGCAGTAATTATTAGTAAATAATGAAACATGTTAAACGGTAAATAAAATATTCTTATAAAAATCGTCGTTCCTTTATCGAACGGAACCCTAAAACGAAACGTAACATACGGGCCTAAGTGCCGCGACATCAATCGATGCCACGTTTCGAGGGTTCGCGATTTAGAATATCCCCATTGTCGGATACACGAAAAATATTCCCATGCTTGCATTAGAAAACACCGACGAATTAACCCTTTCACTCTGAACGTTAATACGCGACAAAAGTAATTGTACACTCGTTAAAAACAAGAAAAGAAAAAGTGAAAAGTCGAAAGGGTTAAAAAGAATGTTAATGAATGATCGTTTCAGCCTGTTTAACGCCCAGATTCATGGTCGTGATGCAACGCGGTATATCTTGGATGTGTTCGTCGAGTAGAAGTTACGGAGGCAGGCTCGTTTTATAGAAGCGAACAATTACCCGTGCTGTTCCCTTTTTCGAACACCGAAGACACGCGTGTTGAACTTTAATAACTTTCTTGTAGGCGCCCGGCATAGTTACAGCATCGCCGGATAGCGAAACCACGCAAATAAGTTTTCCTCCCGGCGCGATATCTTCTCCTGTCTATCGTGTAATCAGTTATAAAACGAACCGCCCCTTTCCTCTGCCTTTTTCACCTGCAGGATACCTCGGAGAGTAACCTTACACTCCACGCGGTCCTCGAATCGACAAATGGATCTCGCAAGGTTGCACTTACCTCCGCTCCTTTAATTCCTTGTATTTATTCAAGATGAATCACGCGGTTGCGGTAGGATCCTTTCAGTTTCAACTGTAGAATCTTCGATGAAAAAGAGAAAAGAAAAAAATACTATTTCTCCTCGCAACGTTTCCTCCCTCGAGAAACGCAAGAATCAGCATAGAACGTAAATCTTACTAGAATTTAAACAATAGCAGGGGAGGGTTTTTTGTCCCGTGGTATATTTTTATGCGTCCTGGAAAGCGACATTCACTCTGGATCGGTTGGTTGACAACGACGAGAAGCTTAAATGCAGCTTCTTAATGCAGCCAGCCTCCTTTCTACGCCACGGCCACGCTTTTTTCCTCGGCTCTTTCATTATCTTGGCGTACCAAGTGACGACGGGCGCGAGCTGAACCGATCTTTACACGAAAATGTACCGGCTAGACTTTCAGGAAACCCTATCGAGAACACTTTTTACAATTCGCAGTTTCGCTGAAATCCCCTCTGAGCCTTCTACTCGCGCCAAGAAAAAAAAAGGGACGCAGAAAATCTCGACCAAATTGAAACACCACCTGGCACATCCTGTCGTTTCTCTTTCCATCGAGAATCCGTTCCACTTACTTCGATATAATCATCCTAGATCCAAACAGTATATCCAAGTATAAAATACGTATATATATATATATATACGTTCATCGAGGTTCATTCATCAAGCGATTCGCTCGCAGCAGCATCCTTTTCATTTCACCTCGGCCTATAGGCCCGAGAAGTCGAAGCAAGAAGAGAGGTCACGAACACACAGAGAGAGAGAAACTCCAGGGGAGTCTTGGAGATTCTTTTCGTTATTACTCCCCCTCGTTCCTATTTAATTCCACTCCCCCTGTTCGTTTCTTTCGGTTCGTTCTGTCTTGTTCCGCGCATCCCAACGGCGGCGGCAGCGACGGTGGTGGTGGGTAAAACCTCGCGCTCGTTGCTTCGTTCCGCTGCTCTACTTTCCGGCCCGCGAGATTTCCAACGTCGAAACGAGAGTGCACCGGCATTGGACCTGGGGCCTGGATCCGCGAGGTTTTCAGGCCCTTGGCTTCGCGGATCCGACCGAGCGGATCGCCGCGCCGCCGCCCCGTTGCATTTTTCGCGGTGAGTAACGGTGAAACGCAAATATTTGCCAAGAGCGCGGGCAAAAACGGTTCCCGAGGCTCGGTTGATTAATTGACACGCCAAATAAAGCGTGTTCAGGGTACAGGCTCGCGTTCACGGTGAATTAAATGTGATCGTCGTTAGCACGATTCCGAGCATCTCCGTTTTCGATCAATGCTCTCTCTCTCTCTGCGTTTGTTTTAACCCTTTGCGTGCGGAGGGCGTGTGCACGATGGCGGCGTGTAAAGAGAGGGAATTGTCTATTAGGTGGTTGCTCGAGAAATGATGGATTTGTAAATGGAACTTTAGATATGAATAATGTAGTGGGAACTATATAAATTTTATCAATGGAAACGATTGAAAATTTCAATTTATCAGTGGGCGTTGTGCTGAACATTGGAAATATGAAATTTGTAAGTGAAAATTCATATTTCAAAAATTATTCAGATAATTTTATTACTACTATTTTGATGTATTATTAGAAAAATCTGAATTTCTTAATTAATGCAATAAATTGCTGAAACGAACATTCTTAATTGTTGCCTCATGGTTGAATAGCTGTTTTTTAACAAATGATCTAAATGCTTATAAACCAAGGTTATATTGCCCGTTCCATTAGCTGTTCCTATCTCAAATGCTGCGTTATTATTTAGCACTGCTTCTACTGCACTACGTCTCAGTTTGAATTCGTAGAAGAAAATCACACGAATTTGATAAAAATCCATTTTCAATTTCTATTAAAACCTTAACTTAGCTTTTCCAGCGATACAAGTTTTGCATTTAAAACAGTTAAACTGCAGGTTTTACGTTTTCGTATGACAATGGACATAATACTAATTCATAAAAACAATAGAGAATCTGCCGGCATACGAACACCGTCATTTCGTATGCAACGACGTAATAGAAAATTAGAAACGTTGGGAATGAATATGAAACGTTGCTTGTCTATGATAATTGAGGAGTTAAAATGGTAAACGGTGTAAGTGCCGGAAATGAAAATTTTCAGTATAAACGAAAAACACGTGTTTGTTCGTTTTGATAGTTACGTCGTTTGTTGTTTTTAACGTTATGCACTTTCGGCGTTTATCATCGTTACAAATTTAGATGGAAAATAAATGGCAAGAAATTTGTAGAATCACTTAAATCGATTTATTTGTACACTCCACTTCTATACTATTTTTGGCATTTTGCATCGTTTATTGCTCGAACGCTATGAACTTTCAGCGTTTGCTATCTTTACAAATTTAGATGAAAAATAAATGGTAAAAGATTTATCGAATTACTTCAAATAGTATACTAATTTTGGCACTTTGGCATCGTTTCTTATTTGAACGCTACGAGCCTACGTTGTTTACCATCTTTGTAAATTCAGATGAAAAGTGAATGTTAAAAAATTTATCCAAGTAATTAAATTAATTCACTTAT